CCAGGTTGCTAATTTTGGCAAAATTCACTCCCCGGCGATTCGATGAATTATCGCAATTCAAGGCCTCAACTTTATTTATGAATATATTTGTGTTTGACTCATTGTTACCGCTTAGCTTATATTGTTTCGGTGTTACTTGTTCCCAAATATACCTTAGCACGGCTTTTGCATATAGTTTTCACAAATCGCAAACCATAAATTCGTACACAAGCGATTTGACCATGTCTGGTTGGTCTATTCTGTCCAAATAACTCGAATGCACCCAACTAAGCAACATTGAGCCTGAATAGTGCTTGGACGGGTGACCACAACATATAATACAGGTGTTGGAGGCTATTGCTGGGTTAAATGGGGCACCCGGGTGGCAAAATGGTATCTGCCTGGTCTGGTGTTGGGTTCCATCCCGACCCTGAGGCCTGTATATTGGAGGTCGCATGTTCTCCCCCTGGTCGCGTGGATTTTTCTCGGGTCCTCCGGTTTTTCCCTTCACATTTAGAATCAACATCACGTTTACAGTATTTGGTTGCTGCTGCTACACATTTTCACGTGATAAGCCACTTCGTTGAGCTATCACCTGGTAAAATAAAATAAAAATAGTTTCAATAGTAAAACATTGTGAGCAGCAACAGCAGTAGTAAAATCCGTTGTAATGTTCTATACTGCCACATCTGTTCTCCCCGCACTCACAACCCCGCATGTGACCAGCGCGGTGATGTCGGTCGAATAAGTACCTGGGGCGGTGTGTAAGCATCGCTACTGGAAAGACAAAGGCGGTCGGGACCGTGCCGGCCTCCATAGGTGCTCGCTAACAGCACTTGCCCCAACAGTCTGTGAAGGCTACACGGGAGTTATTTGTCTTTGATGTGCGGGTCAAATATCTTCTGCGACCTGCACGCGGTCTGGGACGGCCCTCATCCAGCAGTAGACAAACATGTATTCAGTGAGCCTCAAACTCGATAGTAATAGGTCACTTCGGTGGACGGTGACACCGCTGCAGGATGACATCGTTGCACAAAGCGAACGCGTTGCCAGTGACACGTCACGGAAACAGCTGCCACAAAGCTGTGAGTGCATCATCGTATTCCGGTACTGTGCAGTCATCGGCAATGAGTCAGAATTACGCAGTTTAACCCACACATCGCACGGGTTTAAGCGTGCAAATGTTTCGGGGGGGGGGGGGAAGTAAACTTGACAGCTCTCAGGCAGAAGATAACTAAATAATAAAAGGAGGCGGTGGGGGGGGGTAGGTCAGCATTTTAACAGGTAGACGTCACCGTGACTCGTGGACCGGGTCGGGGTCATATCTGCATTGTGTGTTACTCAATTGCCGGACACACTAAAATAACGAATTGCATTGTGGTAATGCTGGGTTAATTAATTGAATGTGTACGAGAATATGTAATCTAAACTATTTAAACTCTTTTATTTTTGTTTAACCGGGTAAGGCCCACTGGTCTTTTTCAGAAGCGACCTGGCCACAGATGATAGCTCAACGAAGTGGCTTATCACGTGGACATTTATAGCAGCCAAATACCCTAAACGCACGTTTCTAAATGTGGAGGGAAAACCCCGAGGACCCGGAGAAAAATCCACGCGATCAGGGGGAGAACATGCAGACTCCAAATATACAGCAGGCGTCAGAGATCGGGATCGGGATCGAACCTAGGACCTCCTGCATACCAGGCGAGGCAGTTAACATCTCACCACCGTGACGCTGCCATCCGTAGTGCGTGAGGGGTACTTATTTTAGTTCCTTCAAATATGTCGGCTTAAAGCTTTCGTGACTTCAGGGATTCATCTTCTTGGTTCTTTCGGTAAAGTCACGTAGAAGGGAAATAATAAAATAATAAAACTAAAACAATAAAATTCTCACGACGTTTCGGCCACAATGCAAGCAGGACGGCTACTTGCGTTGTGGCCGAAACGTCGTGAGAATTATTTGATTATGTTTTTTTTTTATTTTTTTATTTCCCTTCTACGTGACTTTACCGAAAGAACCAAGAAGATATGTCGGCGTATTCAGTCAGCCGATTAAAGGTGAAATAAAACTCCGCGACGCAAGCAGCTGCAAAGGAATGATGAATGTAAGGTCACACTGAGACATACCGAGGTCTAGTCAAAAGAACGTGGAGCAACTAGCCCACACTCACCTGAGCTGAACTCATAGCGCACCTGTAATCTGCCGGATTAAACTGGGCACAGGTGTATGCAGCATACTGAGTTTATTGCAATAATGTAACAGCGCTTCATCAATCCACTGCTAGATCACGGTATGCAAACGCCATGCCGGTAATGAGGGTTGCTTGACCATACTTCACCACGCTGATCACTGCAGGTTGTTGAACGAACGACCCAGGAACAAATTTCGCTGTCTTCCCGACAGACCTGTTCTTCACCTGAGGACGGCTGCTTGCGTTGTGGCCGAAACGTCGTGAGAATAATTTTATTATATTTTATTATTATTATTTTATTACCCTTCTACGTGACTTTACCGAAAGAAACAAGAAGATGGACCCAGGATCAGTTCGGATATTAACTGCCACTGATGTTAGCCGTGAGCGTGAATCACTGTTGGACATCTGTGAGATATAGCTGAAAATCTCATCGGATTCCTCTTAGTATGGATATATATATTCTGACTCTAATCAAACTCGGGTCACCCGCCAGGTTCGTAGCGCAGTGCGCTCGTCGACACAGCAATACACACATCAAAAACCTCAATGACTTTGTCAATAAAGTTTTGGGCAAAGGAACCTTTTCTGAGCAGCAGTGCCATGATAAAGGGAAATCGGCCAAAGTGTTCCTATGTACAAAATAAATAATTTCGAGATGTTTGTCGTTCCACCGCTGAATGAAGGCTTGATCATAGGGTTTTCCAATTTTTTATGGCAACAAAACAGGTGTTAAGATGTTAAAACACCAAACTGAAACCTTTTACAAGGAATCATATCTATATTAACCACAATGCTTGTGGTCAGAATGCAAACAAAACCATATCAGTTTCAAGGACAATGAATATATTATCAGAGTATGTTTTTTGTTTGCATTCTGACCACAAGCATTGTGGTTAATGAAGACATGATTCCTTCTTCTTGGTTCTTTCGGTAAAGTTACGTGACTTTACCGAAAGAACCAAGAAGATGAATCCCTGCAGTCACGAAAGCTTTAAATCGAAACATGATTCCTTGTAAAAGGTTTCAGTTTGGTGTTTTAACATCTTAACACAGCTGTTTTGTTGCCAGAAAAAAGAAGAAAACCCTATTATCATATTTCGGGACTGGCAAAGGAGGTCCCATAATGAATGAAGACTTCTCCACGTGCCCTATTGGTCATGCGGGGGGGGGGGGGGATTTTGACCATACTTCACCATACTGGTCAGAGCAGGATGGAGGAGGGGAATGACCCAGAACTAGTAAAGATATGTTAATCTTCTATTCATCTCTCTGAAGGCAGTGTTAATGAGGAATGTGTTCATGTTTATATCTCAAATGTTTTGGTTGTGGCCTCGCTGCCAATTACGAATTCCACTTATTGATTCGAATGCGTACAAAGTGTGCAGTCGTTGTCAGTGCGAAAATGAATGCACCCATTGATAATCCGTGGCCACTTAAGCCGAACTTAATTACTCTGCAATCCTGCTGCTGGTGGCCTACGTCCCGTTGCCAGATAGAAGGGTAAAGAACCAATTATCATATTTTTACTGGCAAATGAGGTCCCCATAGTGTAGATGTTTGCCCCGAGCTCTCATACTCTGATGGTGCATTGTCTTTGAGTTGTGCGCCTTTTGGCGTCTTCTGGTCCAACCCATGTGAGACTAGGCTCTAAGGAAAGCTGTCTCGGGTGTGGACCAATCAACTTCAAGGACAGTGCACATTATCAGAGTTACGTCTTTTGTTTGTATTTATGACTGCAGGTATTGCGGTCTATGCAAACATGACTCCTTGTAAAAAGGTGTCAGTTTTGTTGCCAGATAGAAGGGTAAAGAACCAATTATCCTACGTCCCGTTGTTTCGTAGTCCAGGGCCCGCATTACGATTATTTTGTTGACACCTCACGATGTGAAAAAGAAACTCGCGAGCCCAATGCGCTCGCCAGTTTTAAATTCTGCAGTGTTTTTTATGTGTCGTAACCCTCCACCACCCGACACGGCCAATCAGCAAAAAAGTGTCACGTTGACAAAAGACAAATAGTTCACTACTTTAGCCCACCGGTGGCGAATTGCCCGATGATGCTGGATGCAATTACCAGCGAAACGTCGTACTCAGAAATTGTAAATGTTGTAGATTCACGCTTCAACACACCGATGGGCTAAAGTAGTGAACTATTTGTCTTTTGTCAACGTGACACGTTTTTGCTGATTGGCCGTGTCGGGTAGTGGAGGGTTACGACACATTTATAAATAACGCGATCTAAACCCAAAAACGTTTATTATGAATAATATTGGTCGCGAAGGCCTACGTGTTAAACTGAGTGTTTTTAAGTACAAGTTGAGACGTGCCAATCAATGCAAGTGCCAACCCCCTTGTGTGTGTTTCCCTGCCGCGATTGTTTTCAAACAGCTGTTTTCGCAAACTTTAGCACGCTAAGTCTGGGGGGGGGAGGGGGGTGAGAAATAGGTGAGGGGTTAGGGGGGACAGAGTGAGTGGAGCGAGAGGGTGAGATGAGACAGAGGATGAGAGGGTGAAGAGAGGTGAGAGGGAATGGAGATGTGAGAGAGAGAGAGGAGAGATAATGGCGAGGTGAAGTAGAGGTGAGATTTGGTCATTTATGTAAGAGGAAGGTGAGAGAGGTTTGGTGGGTGAGGTGTGATCAGAAAGGTGAGTGATCCAGTGAGGTAAACATGTAGGCGACATGCAAAAGGGTGGGTGAGGGGTGAGAGAGAGAGAGAGCTGAGGTGAGAGAATGGAGGCGAGCGAGTAAAACACAAGGCACGTGAGATCGGTGAGGATGAAGAAAGGCTTGAGGTGAGTGTAGTGAGGTGAGCGGGGCGGTAGGTGAGACCTGAGTCCGGTGGGAATGCGTGACGGTGTGAGGACAGCGGTGAGAGAAGGAGAATGGAGGTGAGCGAGGTTAGTAAAGCAAAAGGTGTCTTTAAAAATGTACTAAATGATTTCGTCGTATTGCGTTTGGTCGTGGTGCAACAAGCATAGCTCACTCAACACACTCGTCAATAGCACTGTGGCCTTTAAAGGACATATCTATACAAGGCGACATTTCAGGCAATTGCGCTATGAAGAAGGGCCGTTGCCCGAAACGTCGCCTGTTATGAATACGTTGTCCTTTTAAGACCACGGTGTTATTGACGATCGCGTCGAGCTTTCGTGTTGTTTGAACAAGGTGCGATGGATAAGGCACGAGAGCGTGTTCAGTTGAATCAGCAGGTGAGGGCGAGAGGTGAGCTCAGAGACAGAGACGGGGGCGCCACGGTGGCTAGGAGATGTTCACTACCTCGCCTGGTATGCAGGAGGTCGTGGGTTCGATCCCGACCCTGACGCCTGCTGCTGTATATTTGGAGTTTGCGTTTCTCTCTCTCATCATCATCATTACAGTGGCTAGGAGATGTTAACTACCTCGCCTGGTATGACAGGAGGTCGTGGGTTCGATCCCAACCCCGACCCCCGTGTATTTGTGGTTTGCGTCTCTCTCTCTCCCCACCCCGTGGTCATGTGGATTTTTATCCGGGTCCTCCGGTTTTTCCCTCCGCATTTAGAATCACCCTCACGTGTTTAGTGTAATTTGGCTGATATACACACACCTGTCAATCTATACGGTTTACCCCGTATTCTTTTACAGGGAAATTGAGTTTTCAGGTCCATACGGCGTACAGCCATTTCATTACGGGCAAAATGTGTTTTGTCTATTTGCGTTGTGTTTCTCCCTTCTGTCGACACTTTGTAGGTTGAACGTTGAGATGTATAAGGGCACCTGGTGACCAAGAAGGTCTTGAATTGGTCTGTTATAAGGTAGGCAGCACTGATAAATGGCTTGACAAGTACGTATACATTTCCACACGACGATAAGCCACCGACGTTGAGCTCTCATCAGTAATCTTAATTTTGGAGCTTTCGTGACTGCATGAATTATTCTTTGGTTTTTTCGGTAAAGTCACGTATAAAAATATTATTTTATTTTTATACGTGACTTTACCGAAAAAACTCTCATCAGTAGTAACAAACAAATAGATATATAGTTTAATCTTGATTTGAAACAGTCTGCCTCAGCAGCAGACCATGCTTTCCCACCTGACGACGGATGCTTGTGTTGCGCCCGAAACGTCGTCACTTATTCTATTCTATACCTACGTGACTTTAATGAAAGAACCAAAACGAGTATGGATATAGATTGAGTTGAGGTGAGCAGCAGGGTGAGGTGCCTCGCCATGAGCCTCTCCCTCCACCCCACCCCGAGGGAGGGAGGGAGGAGGGAGGGAGCGGTGCCGTGACGCTGGCTGGGCGACTTCCCTCCTCGCACAGACCCTCTTCTGCCTCCTTATAAGGAAGAAAACCGCGTGGCGATGGCGCTGACAGGGTGCGGCTTTTGTAGTCACTGCTGGCTGGAGGGAGGGGAGGGGGAGGGGAGGGGAGGCGGCTCCCACTCCACATTCCCGCGCCGCCCATTCACAGGGCGCAGCTTCGCACCCACCCACACTTACACACACACACACAGGTAGTGACACACACACGTAGTGACATACACGGGTAGTGACACACACACAGGTAGTGACACACACACACAGGTAGTGACACACACACAGGTAGTGACACACACACACACAGGTAGTGACACACACACACACAGAGGTAGTGACACACACACACACAGGTAGTGACACACACACGTAGTGACATACACGGGTAGTGACACACACGGGTAGTGACACACACGGGTAGTGACACACACACAGGTAGTGACACACACAGGTAGTGACACACACACAGGTAGTGACATATACAGGTAGTGACACACACACGTAGTGACACACACGGGTAGTGACACACACAGGTAGTGACACACACACAGGTAGTGACATACACGGGTAGTGACACACACACACAGCTAGTGACACACACACACACAGGTAAGGCAAAGATCACCCGTGTAGCCTCAAAAGACTGTTGGGGCAAGTGCTGTTAGCGAGCACCTATGAAGACCAGGCTGGCACACCAGGGGGGGGGGGTGGCCAACACCACGCCCGGCCGCATTTGTCTCCCCAGTGGCGAGTTTAACACATCGCACCGGGTACTCATTTGAGGCTGAGTCGACCTAGGGGAGGCACAGGACCGGTTCAGATAATTGTCAATGGTGTTGACCGTGAGCGGCAAACGCCGGAGTCGAACTCGGGTCACTGGGTTGGTGGCGTAGGGCGTCTGCGCTGACTACTGCGCCACCGCTCCCCGCTGAGGCATGCGTGTTCCCACGCAGGTACACACACAGGCACACACAGGGAAAGCCAACCCCACACACACACAGGTACACACACACAGGTACACATACACAGGTATAGCCTACCCCACTCACACACAGGTACACACACACAGGCATAGCCTACCCCACTCACACACAGGTACACACACACACACCATAGCCTACCCCACTCACACACAGGTACACACAGGTACCTTTACAGACTGTTGGGACGAGTGCTGTTAGCGAGCACCTATGAAGGCCGGGACGGTACATAAATGGGTGGGGGCGCCAGCACCACGCCCGACCGCCTTTGTCTCCCCAGTGGCGATGTTTACACACCGCACCAGGTACTCGATTGAGACTGAGTCGTTCTAGGGGAGGCCCGGGACCGGTTCAGATAATCGTCACTGGTGTTGGCCGTGAACTGGAATCGAACCCGGGTCGCCGGGTTCATAGCGCAGCGCGCTAACTGCTACCCTACCGCTCCCCACACAGACGCTCACACACACACACTGGGTACAGACGCTCACACACACACACGTGGGTTCAGCCCCGCACACACGTGGCCATGCCGTGCGAATAACCACGGGCTGCCACACCTTCCCTGCCTCCACAGTGATGGATACACAACATAGCTCACTGGTCCCTGTGTTGAACACAAATCCTGGATGTGGTCATCCTATGAGAGGGACTGGCCCCCGCCATGGAGCTGTGGAATTATACCGATGGTTTGCATTTCTGCCTCTTCTGTTTGGATGTAACCCGGTAAACGTGCAACGTTGATGGCCCTACATTCCGTGTTCACGGACGTATAGCACTCGATTCATAATCGGGAGGTTGCGAGTTCAATCTCGGTTAGCAGACGATTTTTCACATCATCGTTCGAAATTAATAAAGTATCTCGTGGAGGACGTATTCAGTGGGTCGCTTCATGGATGGGCTGATCTCCATCATGGGCATGTGGAATTCCCACCTATGCTTCAGTGCCTCTTAATTGTATACACCTGTGATGGGTATCCGATTTTAATAAGCAGTTTAATGGTTCACCAACGGCCATGTCAAACAGCGAGCAAGCAGGTAGCAAACGTCTAAACTGGTAAAAGTCAACAGCCAAAGTATGTCCCTTCACAACCGGTGGTCGGCACAGCCTTGGAGGAGGTAACGTGTCGTGACGTATCGCCTGTTTGAGCTGTAAACCGCAAGCCCTCTCTAATTAGACACCGACAGACGACCAGAGCCATATTGAAATTGTCCACGATTGTTGCCACAAGCAGTTGGGGGTAAACACATCTGGTAACGAGGAACAGGTCCCCCATATGCCGTGGTTTTTCACATGAAAGCCACTGCCCACAATTGACACGGCTGTACCAACAGAACCCCACCTTCTGCGTCGAAAACTTAATTAGTGGGTCAATTTAATAATCGTCTAAGGCTGATGCCTTTCAATGTCAGAATTGCTTACAGTTCACTTGCCTTGCGTAGTGCCTTTTATCGCAGTATGACTTCCTTTATGGGTACAAGGTTGTTTGTCAGAAGGAGGAAAGGGCATTTATTACCCTCCAACGTTCATCCTACAAAATTTATGGTCGAGTTTTCCAACGCCATGCAAATTTTCTGAAATGCCTTCAATGATCGTGGCCATTTATAGATTAAAGCGTATTTGGGACGCGTGTCATAGCCTATGACATCGTCATTGTTGGAATTCAAAAAGTTACAGTATTTGTCAATGTCATGTATGGTTGCCAGTAACAACCCACAACTAGGTAGTCGTTTTTTTGGTGGGTGCTCAGCATTTTTGCCATGGATTTTGAAGCCTTTGGGTTGTGCTGCCCTCTGTCCCGTGGAGAGTGGAATAGCAGGCCATGTGCACTACAGCAGAGAGCCAAACTAGCATATGCGGAGTGGGAATGCATCAACTTTGTTGCCCACACTGACAAAAAAAACTACGTCCTCGCTACATGCTTTGCTAGATCTCTTAGATTTTTCACAGTGGAGATCACACTGCTTTTACAAAATCTCACCATATCCCTTAATAAATAAGCAGACAATATGCCTCATTCTACATATGCCCCTTCGCATTAAAATAAACTAAGTGCTGTATATATTTTACACATCCTATGAGGCACACGATACTTTGTGAGTGCATAATTTAATTAGCAACAAAAACTCTGGACATGTGCCAGTAAAGTCAGGCTTGCTTGAACCAATGCCGGCAAACTGCCAAGGAACCCTAAATTATATAGTTCTTTTGGTAATGTCACGTAGATAGAAAAATAAAGTGATTACAAATATCACGACGTTTCGATCTCAACACAAGCGGTCGTCATCAGGAACCGGGAGATTAGCTTCTGAAGGCAAACTGTCTATAAAGGTTAAGAGATGGGCGGGGCAGTTAATGTTAATGTAGAATAGGGCCCTGACACCGACAGGTCTACACCAACCAAAGCATTGCACCTCGCTCCACACACCCACACTGCTGACGGTGGAGGTTGACAAGAAAACACAAATCAAGTCATGACCCAAAGTGGTTGATGACATCTTTCCAATGATTTCTGAGCTTATAACCTATTTCTCGGTTAAAATGGTGTCTGTGTCTGTAAATATGGATGGCTTCATGAACGAATCTTTGTTCATAGCCAGTAGGCTTGCAAAGTACCATCGTCTTAGAGAAATCAATTTCGTGTGAGCCAGCCGCATTACAATAATGATCAGCCACGGCAGAAGTATTGGTCCTACCGTGTTTCAGATCTGCCTTATGCTCACGAACACGGTCCGAGACATGTCGCTTAGTTTCCCCAATGTAACTGCTGCCGCAGATACAGTTTAGTGTGTAGACGCCGGGATATTGCATATCAGGCATTTTGTCTTTCACAGATGGGATCAGATCACGGATTTTACGTACTGTGTTAAATCGTAACTGGATCTTGTGTTTGTTCATGATTTTGGAAATCTTTTTGGTTACCCCTGCTATGTATGACAAGGTGATGGTTTTGATTGGATCCTCAGATGGCTCCTTTCTCACGGTTGGGGTGGTGGCTTTGCGGATTGTGTAGTCGGAGTATCCATTCGCTTTGAGAGCTTGGTGTCCGTGTTTGAGTTCACTGGTTAGGTGTTCACAGTCGGAGATACATTGATCTCTATGGTGTAGCGTTTTGATGAGGGAATTCTTCTGGGATGGGTGGTGGTGGGAATCAGGTTTTAGCTAGGCGTCAGTATGGGTTGCTTTCTTGTAGACAGAATGGCTCATTGAGCCATCAGGTCGCTTTTTGATTAGGACACCGAAGAAAGGTAGCATTATTTTCTACCTCCACGGTGAATTTGATGGCTGGGTGTATGGAATTGATGTGATTAAATAATTGGTTCAGAGCCGGTCGGCCATGTGTGCAGATTACAAACTTGTCATCCACGTTCCTCTTCCACAAGGACGGGCGTAGAGTGGATGCCTGGATGGCGTCCGTCTCAAAATTTTCCATGAAAATATTGGCTACTCATTGGGGTGCCTTCAGTTTGTTTGTAGAATTTCCATTCCAGGTGAAGTATGTGTTGGTGAGGCAGTGTCTGACCAGGGCCGGTACATCAGCATTCAATCCTTGTTGGACCAAATCTTCATGATTGCAATGGAACGACATCGAAACTAACGAGCAAATCACCTGGGGACAGTGAGATGTCTTTAATTGACGATACCAGGTGAGCTGAGTTAAGTACAGAAGAGGTGGTCTTAACAGTGAATGGTTGTAGGGTCTCAGACAGAAATCGGTCCAGTTTGTAGGTGGGTGAGCCAATGGTGGAGACGATGGGACGAAGGGGTGCACCTTCTTCATGGATTTTTGGTAAGCCATATCATCTGGGTGGTCTAGCAGCAGAAGGTTTTAAGTAAAACCTTATTTTTGTTATCACTTAATTTTTTATCACTTTATTTTCATTTTTTCTATCTACGTGACTTTACCGAAAGAACCATAGAATACAAATTCCTGCCGTCACGAAAGTTTTAAGTAAAAAATATGCCAAGGAACCCTTCTGTAGCCAAGGACTCTATAGGGGTAGGTGGGTGACCACCTCACTCTCCCCCGACTGCCACGGCCTCCCCCTCATTCAAATCCAAAGTAGCAAGATTTTTCCACACGTGATATGATGCATGTATCATGAGCTTAATAATCAAATGCAATCGATGAATCTATGCATTGTTATATTGCGAATAAGTCGTGTCTGCTGTTGGTTATGTATCATTCCATCAATTCACGATAGTTTAAGTTCGCGATATACGCACAAAGCAGCGTGTGTAAGAATTGATCTGTTTGTGATGAGAGTATTTTTTTTCATTGATTGCATTTGTGTACGTGGGTATGAGATATTCAGCCTAAAGCTAAGTTACAAAAATGACCCATGTAGGGCCTTGGTGGAAAAATGGACGTTCCAGCAATTAAACGCATTCGAAGAAAACATTAAAGTCATGCACCACTCAAGTAACCCTGGCAGGTGTAATGGGTTCACGTGACCTCTACATCAATTCGAGGTTGCGACATTCACCGCAGTGCAAATACAACAATAGATTCTTGAATTAAATCGCAACCTGAATCGTGACATTTTAATCATGAATCGGGTAACTTGCTCGCGTCAAAGTGATGGGGGCGGAGGGTTAAGGGAATGGTCAATACTCATACTCTTTGGTTCTTTCGGTAAAGTCACGTAGGTATAAAATAACAGCAAGACAGTTATTTTTTGCTAAAGTGGGAGAGAGATTCCATCCAGCCTCACGTCCCTCTCCTAGCGTCCACGCAGCGCCCCCCCCTTCTCTCTCTCCTCCCTTGCCCCTCCCCCTCTCTGACCTATATAACCTCTTACCACGGCATCTCTCTCCCACTTCAGCCAAAAAAAATGTCTTGCTGTGGTTTTCCCACCTGATGATGATTGCTTGTGTTGCAATCGAAACGTCGTGATTTATTTTATTTTCTACCTACGTGACTTTACCGAAAAAAACAGAGTATGGATTCCTGCAGTCACGAAAGCCTAAAATCGAGATTGGAATGGTCAATTCTAGATTTAAAGTTTTCGTGACTGCAAGGATCCATACTTTTTGGTTCTTTCGGTAAAGTCACATAGATGAAAAATTAAAATAATAATAAATAATAAAATGGAAATAATAAAATTTAGTTATTTTCATTTTATTATATGTATTATTATTTTCATCTAATAATAAAACTAATAAAATGAAAATAACAAAATTTTATTATTTTCATTTTATTATTTGTATTATTATTTTTCTTTTTCATCGACGTGACTTTACCGAAATAACCAAAGAGTATGGAATGGTCAATGATGATTGTGTGATGGGTTTTATGAGAGGCCACAAAGGTGATGCTGTAAAGACGTGGATGCTACCAAAATCAAAAAGCAAAGTGCACACTGCACTTACGCATAACAAAACCTATTATAAATAAAATGCTGTATCGTTGTCTATGCTGCAATCAAAGCATTGAGCATTTGGCGCGTGTTGCATCCTTGCATCTGTGTCCTTTTAGGAGAGGCACTCATTTTACGTTCCAGAATGAGATTGTGACAATGCCATCGTCACCCGTGTCACAGGATCCACACCCACTCGGAAAGAATGTTTGGGTTCAACCAAAACGAAGCCAGTTTTAACTGGTAGCCCACACAAAAGGGCCCGACGATATACGTTTGCAAAGGTCATGCATGTGCTGGTGAACCAACAATAATTTAACAATAGATCACTGCATTTTTTTTAAATATGCAAAACAACGTAATATGTTCCTGTGCAATGCATGCAGGTGACCGGTTGGAAGGACATCTGTCCATATAAGGTGTCATCCTCGCACGGGGGAATGAAGAGGGTGTAAGACTACATTTTAATCATTGGCGGGGTGGGGGGAGAAAATCATAACATTCATCAATAACACTTCCTTGAATGAATATGTGTTATGAAACGTCGCCTATTATATGTTTGCCTTTTAACGCATTTGTATGGACGAAAGTGTCGATGTTTTTGTTGTTGTTGTTAATTGGTGCTTGTGCACCGCTGCCAACGCAGCAGCAGCATCACCAAATAATGTTTCATTTCAATAGATGAATCATTGCGTGCCGACAATGAGTCGATGTCCCAGGCCATTTTCGGACATGAACCAAAGCTTTAGATGCTGACAGTGGTTCTGGTCTCTTGACTGATTCTGATGGGTCTGGTGTGGCCCTAGCAGTCTTGCAATCCAGACATAATAACACAACACTTTCATTTTACAGCCACAAACAAGTAAATGGAAACCCTACTACTAAACAAAATGTAATACACAAATTAAGAAAAGGCACCAACACAAAAAGCACAATCAACAAAGAGTTATCACAACAAATCGATTTAGGACAATGTACTTGCAGAGTGACTGGGCGCTTATTGCTACTGCGCTGCTGTTCACAGCAGGTGCTGTGAACAGCAAACACTGCTTTTGATGGTCTTCTGTTACTTCATCTGGACACACCTGACGTGAGGAATGTGGAAAACCGGCGTTGCCTTCCTTCACGCCCTGTATCTGGCTTGTGTGTGGACTGTCTGCCCTTAATGCTACTCGTAAGATGAGATTACACACAGCAATACACCACAGGGACGCCATGGTAGCGAGATGTTAACTACCTCGCCTGGTATACAGGAGGCCGTGGGTTCGATCCCGACGCTGATGCCTGCTGCTGTATATTTGGAGTTTGCGTGTTTTCTCTCCCAGTGGTCGCGTAGGATTTTTCTTCGGATCCTCTGGGTTTTCCCTCCACATTTAGAAACACGCGTTCAGAGTATTTGGCTACTGCTGTACATTTCCACGTGATAAGCCGCTGCGTTGGTTGGTGATTTGTGGCCAGATCGCTTCTGAAAAAGTGCTATACAGCTCAGTGGGACATACCTGGTAAAATAAAAATAGTAGTAGACTTGAAATGGGTTTGCAAAGACAACAGAATGTGGTGCACATGCTGGAGTCCACAGAACATAATCCACTGCTGGATAAACCGCCCCAACCATTAACTTTTGTCTGTCCTTCCTTGGCACCTCCGATTAGCACGGTTGGCTACTACGTATGGTGCGAAAGACGTTCAACATACCCTACAAGCCTACATAGTACATACAGCAGTGGGGTGGGTGAGTGTGGTGGGGTGGGTGAGTGGGGTGGGGTGGGTGGGTGAGTGAGTCGGGTGGGGTGGGATGAGCGGGGTGGGGTGAGTGGGGTGGGTGGGGTGAGTGGGGTGGGGTGGGGTGAGTGGGGTGGGTGGGGTGAGTGGGGTGGGGTGGGGTGAGTGGGGTGGGGTGAGTGACTGGGGGTGAGTGGGGTGGGGTGAGTGAGTGGGGTGGGTGAATGGGGTGGGGTGGGTGAGTGGGGTGGGGTGAGTGAGTGGGGTGGGGGTGAGTGAGTGAGTGGTGTGGGGGTGAGTGAGTGAGTGGGGTGGGGTGAGTGAGTGGGGTGGGTGAGTGAGTGGGGTGGGGTGAGTGGGGTGTGAGTGAGTGAGTGGGGGTGAGTGGTGTGAGTGAGTGAGTGGGGTGTGTGAGTGAGTGGGTAGAGTGGTGGGAGTGAGTGGGTAGAGTGTGTGTGAGTGCGTGTGTGGGTGAGTGGTGAGTGGGGTGGGTGGGGTGAGTGGGGTGGGTGGGGTGGGTGGGTGGGGTGGGGTGGGGTGAGTGGGGTGGGGTGGGGTGAGTGGGGTGGGGTGGGTGGGGTGAGTGGGGTGGGGTGGGGTGGGGTGAGTGGGGTGGGGTGGGGTGAGTGGGGTGGGGTGGGTGGGGTGGGTGGGGTGAGTGGGGTGGGGTGGGGTGAGTGGGGTGGGGTGAGTGACTGGGGGTGAGTGGGGTGGGGTGAGTGAGTGGTGTGGGGGTGAGTGAGTGAGTGGGGTGGGGTGAGTGAGTGGGGTGGGTGAGTGAGTGGGGTGGGGTGAGTGGGGTGTGAGTGAGTGAGTGGGGGTGAGTGGTGTGAGTGAGTGAGTGGGGTGTGTGAGTGAGTGGGTAGAGTGGTGTGAGTGAGTGGGTAGAGTGGTGTGAGTGAGTGGTGTGGGTGAGTGAGTGGTGTGGGGGTGAGGGGGTGAATCTTCGTCTTTCTTTACTTCCGGGTCACAGCCCGCCCCATCGCGGCTCCACTCCCGGCGCTGCTGCTGCAGCTGCTGGCATCGCGGGACAGGCGCCTCGTCCCTGCCGCTCCCCCTGCCGCTCCCGGGGGTGTCCGTGGGTGTCCGGGGGTGACGAGGAGGAGGGTGCCGGCACCTATCTCGCTCCACCGTCCGTCTCGCACAGCAACCCGCGATGTCGTCGTAGCAGCAGCAGCCCCCCTCTGCTTGACGAGTTCGCTTGGACGGACGGACGGGCGGGCGGGCGGGCGTCCCTTGGGAATGGTTTGTCTCGCAAGCCGCGGCGTCGCGACGTTCCAGGGGCAATCCGACACTCGCTAAAGGTTCGTTTTGTGCGGTGTTGTTTTATTCTTCCCCATCCCCTCCCGTCCACACACCTCTTGGGAACGGAGACCCACCGACTCGCCAGGCCCCGGACACGTGAAGCACACGGGGTTTGCTGCTGTCTGTGTGTGTGTCTGTCTGTGTGTGTGTCTGTGTGTGTGTGTCTGTGTGTGTGTGTCTGTGTGTGTCTGTCTGTGTGTGTGTGTCTGTCTGTCTGTGTGTCTGTCTGTGTCTGTACTCGTTCACCTCCCCTCTTTACCGTTCATTTATCTGGCCACGATTCGTGTGCGTGGTTGTTTTGGTAAATGAAGAATGTGTTGTTGTTTTTGTTGTGTGCGTGTCGTCTCGCGAAAGTAAACGCATTGTTAAGCGAGACGTGTGCCGAGGTTAACGCGCAGTAAATTGTCAATATCCACGTGTAGCAAAGCTTCAGCGCTCTTGTGAAATGCAGCGTTATCAACAATGTTCGTACGCTGGGCTCTCTTGTCAGGCTATACCGCTGGATGAAGGCCATTTCTGTGTGCCAAAGGGCTAAATATTGTCAATGTTAACATTGTCTGTGGCTACACAAGTATTTAAGACGCTAAGAGTGTGAGACTTGGTTTACTTTCATGCGGTTCAGACCACTCCGCCCCTGCTCAATCTGCTGGATGATGAAGATCTCGCCACGCCGGACCCTCATCTGCGAGTTGTTTGACCATATCAGTGGGAACTTTTTGGCCGGTATACAAAATGATGTGAAATAAAATTCGGTTTGACCCTTTCGTGGCAATAAAACAGGTGGTCAAACACCAGATACATTTTGCAAGGCACCACGTGTTCAAATCATCACACAAACTTATGAAAAACATGCGAACAAACATGCTCGTTTATATGCATCGACATTGTTTGCATGTTTTGACCATAAGTACTGTGTGTGTGGCTAATGCAGACCTGATGATGCCTTGCGAAAGGTATCTGTTTGGTGTTTGACCAAACAATACATCAACACGCTTTATCAGTGCGGGTTGGTGAATCGGGAAAGGCCCAGGACTTTGTAACAAGATGTTACATGCCGCTGGTGTCATCCGTGATCGGGAATCGTGTCCTCTGGAAGCTGGATTCATAGCCACTGCTTCCTCTCTGTGTGTATGAATACAGAACAGTAATGTGTGACGTTGATAATATGTACGGCATATTCTCAGATGAACATGATCCATTGTAACTTGTATGACTATTCTGTATTAACCCCTCTCCACGGCGATAACATCACTTTACTCCCTCCGTTTTAAGACTGAAACAAGAGGAGGACTTCTTCACAATTCTGGCTATCACCTGATGAAGCTGGTTGTAATGACCAGCGAAACGTCATACTCGAATTGTAAATGTGGGTTTACTGTCCAACACACCGCTATGCTGAAGTAGTAACTAATTGGCACGTTTTACATGGCAAATCTTACTAATAATTGGCTGTGTTGGGTGGTGGTGGGCTTAAAAACACATTTAAATTCATGCAATCAAACCCCAAAAAAACCTGTATTATGGATAATCAAGAATTGTGCATTTCTACATATATTTCTGCACCTCCAATTAGCACGGCTGCCTACGTATGGTGATAAAGAAGTTCAACGTACATACAATATCTTGCAACCCTGGGTGTTTTAGCCAGTCTCGTTGAGCCACGCTAATGAATGCTGCTATTGTTGAAGAGTTTTGAAATACAGTACGGTATGAAAGTGGATGCCTCCATGGGATTAGAATGTCCACAACTGGCTCCGGTCTACGAGTGGAGATGAGCGCTCGACCACATGCTTCATAGATTGGTCACTTCCAACAGTGGTAGAGGAATTGTATCGACTCGGAGATGTAATGAATCGGCCACAGTGAATTTAACTCGGCGGTTTGATTATGAATTGAACTAGCCTGACCTGCAGGGACCGCCAGACCTGCGTATATGTTTGGGTGGAATTTCACAAACAACATTGTAATCTTAGGTTTTTTACCTTTTCAGTGATGTGGTAATAAATATCATACCAAGTGCTGGAAGAAGCCATTCACAGAGGGATATAAAACAAAACGAATGTTCTCCCCTTTGTCTATCCACCGCTGGATGAACACTTTGACACCTGCTTGGCATAGTCATTGCAGGTTGGTGAAGACTACCTTTGAAAATATATTACTGTCTACTGGAAACCAGAAATACTTTATTTTTAAGTTGCTTGGGGAAGCGGTGCATGTGATCACATGCTTTTCATATTCGGAAATTCGCATTGGGTTTCCAGTTGAGTGATATTGTAAAAGTGGCATGAGATGAAGAATTCAGGAGGAGGGATGAAAGTTTCCGTGCTCCTCCACAAAAAATTCTTTACTCATGACTTGGATACAAATGTACAGGAATTACGTTTTCATGTAGATGCCTGGAGCATCCAGAGTAGTGCATTGATGGAGGGCAGTGAATGGTTTTAATGTATTAAATGGAAGAGGGGCTAGTTGCTGATGCAACAATTGGAGTGGTCTCCACGAGTCTGACGACCAAGGGGAGAGGAGACCTTGGAGCAGATGGTGGGAGACTTAAGATCGAGATCTCAGAAGTCGCTGTTTTTTCTACTGGGCAGCAGCTACAGGATCTGGTAGAGTGTAGAAAGTGTTGGCAAAGTGCAGTGGTATGAATGGCTTTGGCCATAATGACATCTTGATCTTGACATTATTATAGAACATGCATCAAAAATTAAGTGTCTATTGCAATCTACATTCATAATCAAGTTTTTGGGTTTAGATCGCGTTATTTCTAAATGTGTTGTAACCCTCCGGTGTGTGAAGCGTGAAACCACAATTTTTTTTTATGTTGTGGTTTCACACTTCACCACACCGGTGGGCTAAAGCGGTGAACTATTTGTCTTTTGTCAACGTGACACTTTTTTGCTGATTGGCCGTGTGGAGGGTTACGACACATTTATAAATAACGCGATCTAAACCCAAAAACGTTGATTATGAATAATATTGGTTGCGAAAGCCTACGTGCAATCTACATATTGTATTTACAGACATACTCTACTTAATTTTAGAATTGATTGTTTCTTAAGTCCACATCGTAATATAGCCCAGTCATCATCTTCCGAATGACTTGGTGAATAGAAACTTGATGATTTGTATCCAAGATGAAAGCTCAAGCAGAGGTAGACCGACTGTGCGAGACCACGTCTTGTCTCCACATTCTCTTTTTGCCACAGACTGGGCGTTACAGCAGCATGCCTCCGCGTCCCCGGGCCGCCCAGCGCCATGCAGGAGGCTCCTGCCCCGCCCGCCGCACGGCCCCGCGCCACCGGATTTGTCCTCGTGCACGCAGGAGCAGGCTTCCACTCGGAGGCCAAGGCCAGGGAGTACAAGCAGGTGTGCCGCAGGGCCTGCCGCAGGGCGGCTGAGGAGCTGCGCGCCGGCGCGGGCTCCCTCAGGGCGGTGACGGCCGCGCTGGTGGAGCTGGAGAACTCCCCGCTCACCAACGCGGGGACGGGCTCGAACCTGAACATCGCGGGCGAGGTGGAGTGCGACGCCAGCATCATGGACGGCGAGGCGCTGCACTTTGCCGCCGTGGGGGCCCTGAAGCGTATCAAGAACCCCGTTCTGGTGGCCAACAAGCTGCTGCTGGAGGGGCGCAAGGGCAAGCTCTCGGCCGGCCGGGTCCCACCGTGCTTCCTCGTGGGTGAGGGCG